CCTTCTACCTGCGCTTTCCAGCTGCGGGGAGGGTGGAGGCGCGAGTCCGGGAAGCCCCTGCGGCACAGGAGCGCCTGCCGGGTCGCAGAGGCTCTACTTACCTCCCGTCACCGGCGGGAGCAGCGGCCCGGGCCGGGGCCCGGGCGAGCGTGGTGGCGAGAGAAGCTGCGGCGAGAAGCCTCAGGGCCTGCGAGGCGGCGCACCAGCATACCGTCCCGGACTGCGCGCCCGCACCCTGCGCTCGCCAACCACAGCCCCACCCGGACCCGCCCCGACTGCGCGGGTGGGGAGCACTCCGAGGGCGGGGCCCTGCGCGAGCCCACAAGGCCCGCCCCCGTGCCCTGGGCAGCGCATCCTTTCCTGCCTGCACCCGGCTGGCCCTCTGGGGACAGGAAACAGCCCAGGAAACGCTAACGGAGCGGCCAGGGCTAGCGGGAGGGGGCGCAGACCCACCCCACCCCCAACGCATGCACAAACACACCCTTAGCCCGCAGGCAGGACCCGGGTTTTAAGGGTGAGCCAGCAGTCTCTTGACATTTCAAATTTAATCACTTCTCTTCTGGGTCATTTTCTTCTGAGGGGAACACAAAGTAAGCCACTGAAGTGACAAAACTGGTGAGTTGTAAACATGGTTTCCCTGACATACTTCGTTTCCCACATGTCATGGAAGTTTCAAAAGAAAACAGTTCAGGTAAGGTGCATAATCGTTTTTCTTTCTCAGGAGCCAGGATTGGTTATTTAATTAATTTTAAAATAACATTTTAGTTCAGCTGATGTGGCTCAGTGGTTGAGCTCCTCCCATGGACCAAAAGGTCGCAGGTTCCATTCAGGTCAGGGCACATGCCTGGGTTTCGTTCTCCATCCCCAGTAGGGGGCGTGCAGGAAGAAGCCAATAAATGCTTCTCTCTAATCAATGTTTCTATCTTCCTCTCCCTTCCTCTCTCTAAAAAAAAAATCAATAAAATATATTTGTAAATAACATTTTAAAAACTCTAATCTGCAGGTTCAGATCTTTTCAAAATAATATGAGAGGATAGAATTCCACCTTGCTTAATTAACAGTTTGTAGTTATTTTTGAGTACACTACAATGTACAACACCGTTTACATTTGCATTTCTTTTACACAAAATATACCATGTAGCACACAAAACTAATATGGTAATAGAAATCACAACATTAGCAGTGGCCTCTGGGGAGCAAGGTGATTGGAGAGCAACCAGGGAACTTTTTGGGATGACAGATAAATTCTACCGGTTAGAGTGTATGTTACATGAATTATGCATTTGTCAAAACTTATCCAAATTAAGATCTGTGTATTGCACTACTTGTAAATTTTACCTCAATTTTTAAAACTCTTATAAAACAGCATTCACAGCTCCTGAATCCATCACTTAGTCTTTTAAAAGGTAGCACAATTATTCAATTACCAGAATTATCAGAGGTTGTCAGAGGTACCATATTTGGTAAGTAATAATCTTGTCAAACAACTAATTCTAGTAATACCAATGAAATCCACCCAAAATTTCAAAAAAGGCTTTAAGGCCATCATTCAATATCACTGCCAGTAGAATTACCTAGCCCAATATCCATTCAACTCAAGTTAGGATTCCTTTTCAACTACACGCCACAGTCCCTGGCATTTTCACCTTTGAAAGCAAAAGCTCAATAGTAAGATTGGGCTTTGCAGTCAGGTAGAGCTCAGATGAATTCCAGCCCTGTCTTCGTAACCTTGGGCAAATGACAGTCCCTCCTTTCTTCCGCTGTAAAAGGCACACACTTCATTCCATCTCTGATTAAGTTTGCTCACATGTCCATTTCCCCAAGTAGGCCACCCTCTTAAGGGCAGGAGCTGTATCTTACTCACTTTTGTATCCCATCCCACCCCACCACCACCAGTGGCCTCACACTAAGTTGGTATATATTAAAATGTTGGTTTTTTTTTTAACTGAATTGAATGGGAGATAAAGTGAAGTCAAATTTTAATAGATAAAAACATCAGAGTTCATTCATTCAATAAATATTTACTGAGTGTTTACTGTGTGCCAGGCCCTGTTGTAGGTTCTGAGGCTATGTCTATGAGCAAACCAGATAAAAATCTCTGCCCCTGTGGAGCTTATACTCTAAATCTATTATAAGGGATGGGATTAACAATAAATTTATGTAAATTTAATCATACCTATCAGGAAAAAAAGAGACACACACATTTAAATAGTTTAATTATTGGTGCTAGAAAAGTCTACTGTTGATATGTAGTTTTTATTATATATTGTACTTACTATATTCATAAAATATTCATACCCATGTATCACTACAGGGATTCTAATGTAAGACTATATGTAGAACTTTGTTGGCAATTTAAGAGATTTTCAAGGATCATTTTGAGCATGTTCGAGTTCATACTTAGGCACAGTCTTTAAAATCTAACCATCTTGCAAGATGTGACTCTACTACTCCAAAATGAAAACTCTGAGATTGTTGGACAAAGGAGAACCATTGTAAGTAGTTCAGCATGAGAATAATGACATGATGAATCCATATTTGGTCATATCAATCTGGTATCAGGGAACACAATATAGTACATTCATATCAATACATAAAGTCAATCAACAGTGGAATTCACATCAAGAATTTTTTTTTAAGTTCATGAGCCATTTGCCATTTTTTTAAACAACTAAAATAGTAAGAGCTTGAAGTCATAAATAGTTATAATCAACTCTTGATTATAAATCTAAAAACAAATTGTAACATACCAACTTATTCTGATTAAAGGTTTATCATTTTCATATAGTTTTCAAAGAGTATTTAAAAAGACACCAAGATAAGAAAAATCATTTTTAAATTTTGCAATAACTTTATATATATTAATACCCATCACTGAACCCTGAAAACATTCTTCACTTTTACAATGTAAAAAACTTTTAGGACAGTATGTGACTAGAAATATTCCATTACCATAAAGCTACGAAGAGATTAATGCTCCTAAGAGCCAAGTTAGGAAAGCAAAAACATAATTATATCAATGATAAGCACCAAGACAGAACTTTTTTGCACTTAGGACCTGACTGGTTGTATTTAAACATAACCTCTATCAATAGAGGATCAAAATAAACACCTTACTTGACAAAAAAACAAAACAACACACAACAAATAGATATACTGAGGTCTGGAAAATGTGAAGAATGCCCAATTTAAAAATAAAACAATGAAAGCAATCACTTGTTTTATAATAAATATTTTTTGCAAAATATATTCATATGTCTCTTTACTGCCTCTTTAGTTCATTTCATTACAATTCAGATTGCTCCATTTTTGTTAATGTGTTGCCAAACTAATGTAAATACATGTGCTGAATTATGGGTGTTTGCTGTAAGGAATCCACACCATTAGAGCTAGATCCCAGTAGCTCAACAATCTTAGTTGTGCAGCCCAGAGAGGAATGACATACAAAGAAGCTTACACAGTGGCCTGAAAGAGTTGGGCAGTCAGACACTAAATTCCCCCCAGAACAAACCTGAGGCTGAGCAATGTGGGAACTAGGGGATCTGTGGTCACAATGTAGAATCAGTGACAGGTTTGGAAAATGAAGACTAAGGCAGGATGCCTCAGGCACAACATTCCCGAGACATCGGAGGATGTAAAGCTGTGACAGCCAATTTTCCTGGAGGGATCGGGGACTGAATCGCTGCACTTAGAGGGTCTGCAACTGAGGATCCCTGCAACTTTCCCAAAAAGCACCTGAGGCACCTCTGGCAGTAGCACTCACCTCTCTCAGTGAGAACATCTTAGGGACACCCAGAGTGTGAACCTGGGTGTTGTCTCCTCCTGGTCTCAGTGGTTCCCTCAACACAGATACTATCCCCTCTGGAGGCCTGGCCAGAAATCATCACTGCCTTCCACTTATCACTCAGCCTCAGAAAGAAGGCCTCTGTGCCTATGGGGTCCCTGAGTTTGAGGTAATTCCAGCATACTGTATGCTATATAGCAGGAACATATGAAGTCAGGGAGTCCACTTTAACACACAAGCTATCTAAATTCAGTATTCACCAGTTTTTGTTACCTCAGTAATACTTTTTAGCAGGAAAGTTTCTCCACACAACTTATCGTATGTGGGGTAAAGAAAAAATATTGCTAGAATATGATAGAAATATTTTAAAAGTTTAGTGTGAAACTCCTTGAGGGAAGGAAAAAAAGACATACTACTTTTCTACTTCTATGTTCCCATCCTTGGCTTTGAGGTCAATGAGCACCAAGGTTCCTAAGCTAGTTCAAGGTTCTCCCAGCCCCTCCACCCACACACAATCCTAGGGAATTCCTGAGCCATCTACTTCTCAAATTTGTAATCATATCTCTGGGCATGTCTATGCAGCTCTTTAATTCAGTTTCAAGAACCACAGCAGTTTTTAAACAAAATGACATAGTTGCATTCTTTAAATGCCAGGCATGAAATCATTACTTAAAAAAAAACGAATCAGATAATATATACGTGAGTCAAATACAACTCTCTCCTTTTTTAAGGTGCTTTATTTGGTCTGCTGAAGACATGTTATGACTGCTTCTAAAGAAAAGCCCTTAGAAGGAGCCTCCTGTGTTGTCCTTGCCAACCTAGCTCAGGTTAAAGCGCCGGTCCACAGGCCAAAGAGCTGCAAGTTCAGTTTCCGGTCAAGGGTGTGTACCTCGGTTGCAGGTTTGATCCCCAACCCCGCTCAGGGTCATGGAAGAGGCAACCCATTGATGTGTCTCTCTCACATCGATGTTTTTCTCTCTCTATCTCTCCCTTACTCCCCCCTTCCCACTCTATCTAAAAAAAAAAAAATCAATAGAAAAATATCCTCAGGTGAGGATTAAAAAAAAAAGGAGCCTCCTATGGCACTCCGCAGTTTGATATTTTGTTCCAATGTTGCCAGGTTCTTCAACTACACTGTACATAGGGCTTGCTTCATGAAAACCCCCCAGAATGGGCACATTAGACACAGAATAAAACTTCATTTACTTATAATTCAGTGAATTTTTAGTCACACAAAAATAATGACCTAACTTGTTTAAATATGCAACTCCTCTTTTCCTTCCCCCATGAACTAAATTCCTTTCTTAAAATGGTTAGATTTGATGATCAAGTTAAAATCCACCATATTTCAAGTTAAACTATGAGGACAGAATCAACTGTAGCATGATTTCAAATTCACATTGGCATTCGTTTTTCTGTATGTTCCTACATTTGTCCTAAATCAATTTCCTACCCCATAACATTAGGAAGAAATTAAAAGAGTGTTATATTATACTGCAACGTTCCAGTGAATTCAGTTTATCAGAGTTTACTCTTAGCTCAATATCATACAACTTCTCCATAATGCAAGTATATGGATAAGAGGAATTTCAAATACAAAAAACCTTTAGCTCTGTGACATAAATAAATTTGGGTAAAACCGCAAGCCTTCCACTGAGTCGTCTCGGCAAAGATGGCCCATCTTCTCTGCAAGAAGCAACCTAGAAATCAAGGGAGAAAACCACTATCACCTGTCCATTCAGAAACACAAGTTGTAACGAAGAGCAAGACCTTACTTACCTTTCTTTAGCCAGGAGGACAGACATTCCCACCAGCTTGGCAAACTCTTCTGATGTTAGGGATCCCTTTTCTGAAACCTAACAGAAACACATAGCAGAATAAAATGTCATAATTTAGACCGCTAGGTACTATCCAAGAGAGAATGTCTATTAGTTATACTCAGGAAATAGTTTACTGAATTATCTACTAAAATCCAAAGAAAATTCACTATAGAACTAAGTATTCTTCTGTTTAATTGTACAAAAGCTAAAACCCAGACCAAATAAAGGCTAAAATATCACAAAACACCTATAATAAAGGCACTGCACTACAGTCTAAAAAACACTCTGATATACTGAAAAGGAACACAGAACAAATTCTAATTGAATTCATATTACATGATCCAGTGAAGAACATTTATGTATAGGTTTAGTTTAAAATATGTAGTCAAAATATCTTTAGACTTGGGTTTTTTCATCTAGTTTAAAATGAAAAGTATAATAAATGTAAGTTATTCAAATTATACAGGCTCAACATAGAGGCTATGAAGGCAGTAATATTTCAAGTACCCTAATAAGTAAATATCAGTTTGGTCATAAAAACTAAACTGCATTAACTAAGCTACATTGCTTTTCATATTTTTTGAAACAGTTCTTTCATAAAACAACTTTTGATGTTTGTAATGCTACTTATATAGCTGTTAATGAAAGTAAAAGTTCTATCAGGGAAAACCTTTCTGATTAACTAAGTTAAAAACCTGTTCTCGCCCTGGCCAGTTTGCTCAGTGGTTAGAGCGTCAGCCTGCAGTCCAGAGAGACCCAGGTTCGGTTCCCGCTAAGGGCACGTACCTCGGTTGCAATTTATTCCTGGCCCTGGATGGGTCATGCGGGAGGCAGCCACTCGATGTGTCCCTTTCACGTCAATGTTTCTTTCTCTCCCCCCCCCCCACTCTATCTGAACAAAAAAATGGAAAAAGTATCCTCGGGTGAGGATTACAAAAAAACAAAACCTGTTCTCAAGACTGAGCATAAAACAAAAAGAAAGCACTTCATTAATCCCAACTCTCCTTTCTATAAGATGTTTTGAGTGTTAGTACGTTTCAAAAAGCTTTCCAAGAATAACTTTGATTTATTCATTGTTAATGATAAACCATTTTTAACTGGGCCAACAAACATTACTTTATAGTAAACTTAAGTCCAAAAGGAAATCCTGTTTCTCAAGCTGCTAGGCACTCGGGTCCTCAGGGCAAGCCCTAACGACCGGAGGAAACTGGGTTCACATACTGTCTCCAAGGCTGAGGCCACCATTTCCTCTTCCTTGTGGGACTGGAGCTCAATGACCATGACGCCACTGTCAAAAACTCGGAGCCTAAAATCCGCAGATGGGAGAAAAAAAGCTGTGAATATCTAGGATCTTCAACCACTGAGGAGGCACAAATATTTTTTACCTTCTTTTATGCCCAGGTATGAAGGCAATATTAACACAAAACATCATTTAAAACTTAACTAATCACAAGCAACTATGGCATAACTATAAAGCTCATGAATAAACTATAATCTAAATACTAAAAAAACACATATTTCTATACATGTGTCTGGCTACTTATTTTTCAATTACACTTTTTCAATCACAGATGACATTCAATATTATTTTATTTTCGTCTCAGGTGTTCAATACAGTGAGTGATTAGACAATTATATAATTTGTGAAGTCATTACTTGACAATTCTAGCACCAACCCGGCACTATACATAGTTATTACAATATTATGCACAATGTAGTACATCTCTGACTGGCTAGTTTTTTTTAAACCTGAGGATAAGGAAAATGTAATTCACAGTTAAACATCTGTACTTGTAAGTCTTCAGAAACAAACACAAAATGTCTAAGGGAAGAGGGGCTAGTAACCCTGACCTCACGAGAGGAGCCCACATTCTTGTCTCACTGCCCCAAAACAGCAAGAGTTGGACTATTACACCAACCAGGCCATGCACAGGATGGAAGCCAGAATGGCAGAGGTGCTTGTGGTGCCAAGTGAATTCTGTTAACAACTAATTTGAAGAGGGGCAAAATGTTAGCTCACCCCACAGGATGGCAGACCTGGAAGGGCTTTCCTGTCTAATTTTTGCAGAGCAGGGGCTATACTTGGCAAACTTGCAGCAGAGGTTCTCTTACCTGAGAGGTAATTTCAGGGCTTCCAGCATCTTGCATGCATTCACTAAATCTTCTGGTGAGAGCAACTAATTGAGGAAAAAGTCCAGTTTACATTGCAAATTAATAGAGTGATGCTATATAAATATAGAGAACGCTAAAACAGAAGAGGAAATTTTAAAAGTATCATTTATCAAAGATTTTAGGGGACTTAATTACTATAAGGCAAAAAAATGAACAAAGAACCAAAACTTCTATTCATTAAAACACTCCTACCCAACAGAAACCAAATGGAAGTCATACACGTAATTTATTTTTATCATTATTTAAAAATTTGTTGAACAGACCCAAAATGTTGGTGGAGTGAATGGAAGCTACAAAGACCATCTCCCAGGACCAAACTTGAATTACAACTAAAATAAAGACAAATTGTCAGGAAAAAGCAACAGAAAAGCAGCTTGTGAGGACCATATAACCAGGGACACTGAATCGATCCTGGTAGGAATGCGGAGGCGACAGATGGGGGTTGGAAGCCAACGGACAGCAGCAGCATTAGCTGTGAGCAGTGCCCTCAGGTTAAACTCCTAAGCGGCTCCACAGCCCACAGCCGGAAAGACGCTAATATAGTCATAGCCACTCACCTTGGGCTCCAGCAGAGGGAGGGCGAAGTGGACTGGAACTGTGTGGGGACACTCAGGATTTGGACGGTGCTCAGAGCTTTTACTGAGTTGCAACCACACAGGACGAAAAGGCCATCTTACACCTTCCCAGGGCTCTAGGAAAAGGTGGTGGCCCCCCCTCAGAGATTCAACCCCACCCAGGTGGGCCATTGAAATGGGGGCTCGTTAACAACCAGCATCTGACCCACGCTCAGGAAATCCCCTTACACTGAGCACTTGAGGGAGTTTATCATTCAACTGAGTACCCAAGGCTCTTCAAGTAACCGCTACTGATAGCCTCCAGGCAAAAAGTTAGAGGATAACTGAACAATTCCTGGGCTAGCAATTCTAACCAGGAAAGTAAGACTTGACAGTGCAGTTTAACGTGAGTCCTCCCTCACTCATTCAAACCCAGGAGAGGGAGCCACAAAGAGCAGAACACCAACACCCACAGGAAAAATTTGGCAGGCTCCAAAGCCCACTGTGATAGCCAAAATGGTAAAACAAACAAACAAAACAGAATGAAAGAACAAGAGACCTCTACCGAAGATGACATAAATGAGGAGCAGTTATGCAAGTTAACAAAGCTAAAATTCAGAACCATGATGTTGAGGAAGCTCAACAGCATGAGTAAGGACATCAACACCATGAGTAAAGACATAGAAATGTTAAAAGTCAACCAGTTGGAAAATTAAAAACCACCAAGAAGAAATTAAGAATTACATAGCAGAAATAAGAAACACATTGGAAGGTATAAAAAGCAGACTTCAGGAAGCTGAGGACCGAACCAGTGAATTAAAAGACAGGGTAGAAAAAAGATCAACAAATCAGGAAACCAAAAGGAAAAAAAAACAATTAAAAAACAGGAAGGCAGCTTAAGAGAATTGTGGGACAACTAAAAACGTAATAGCATTCGCATCATAGGAGTCCCCAAAGAGGAAAAAAATGGGCAAGGGTTACAGAATATATTTGAAGAAATAGTGACGGAAAAATTTCCTAATTTGGTGAAGGAAAAAGGCATTCAAGTTCAAGTAGCACAGAAAATCCCAAGTAAGAAGAACCCAAACAGGCCCACACCAAGACACATAGTAATTAAAATGCCAAATATTAAAGACAGAGAATCCTAAAAGCAGCAAGAGATAAGTAATAGGTTACTGACAAAGGAAACCCCATAAGGCTCTCATCGGACTGCTCAACAGACACACACCACACCAGAAGAGAATGGCATGAAGTAATCAAGGTCATGAAAAACAAGGATCTAAATCCAAGATTACTCTACCCAGCCAGGCTATCATTCAAAATAGAAGGTCAAATAAAGAGCTTTCCAGGCAAAAAAAAAAGAAGAAAAAAAAAGGCTAAGGGAATACATTAGCAGCAAACAAGCACTGCAAGAAATGTTAAAAAGACTGCTATAATTAGTAGAAGAAATAGTAAGAAAATTATAACCACACTAAACAAAAATGGCAATAAAAAAGTACATATCAATAATCACCTTAAATGTAAATGGACTGAATGCTCCAATAAAAAGACACAGAGTAGCTGATTGTATAACAAAGCATGACTCATCTATATGTTGTTTACAAGAGACCCACCTCACAACAAAAGACTCATATAGGTTGAAAGTGAAGGGATGGAAAAAAAATCTTCCAAGCAAATGGAAAGGAAAAAACAAGCTGGGGTAGCAATACTCCTATCTGATCAAATAGATTTCAAAATGAACGCCATAACAAGAGACAAAGAAGGCAACTATATAATATTGAAAGACTCTATTCAACAGGAAGATATAATCTTGATAAACATATATGGACCTAATATAGGAGCACCAAATATATTAAAAATCTTCTGGAGAACTTCAAAGGAGAAATCAACAGAAATACAATCATAGCAGGGGATTTCAACACCCCACTGACATCACTGAATAGATCCTCTAGACAAAAAATTAGCAAGGAAACAGAGACTCTAAATGAAGCACTAGACTAAATGGACTTAATAGATATCTACAGAGAATTACACCCCAAAACTAGAGAATTCACATTCTTCTCAAGTACACATGGGACATTCTCAAAGATAGACTACATGATAGGACATAAACTAAATGCCTACAAGTTCAAGAAGACTGAAATCGTATCAAGCATCTTCTCAGATCACAATGGCATGAAACTAGAAATCAACTGCCAGAAGAACATGCAAAGACATTGGAACACATGGAGGCTAAATAGCATGTTATTAAACAATGAATGGGTTACCGAGGAGATCAAGGAAGAAATTAAAAAAAACTTCCTATAAACCAATAAAAATGAACACACAACAACACAAAAACTATGGGACGCAGCAAAAGGAGTTCTGAGAGGGACGTTCATAGCACTACAGGCCTACCTCAAGAAACAAGAAAAATTTCTAATACTCTATCTAACCTCACAACTTCAAGAATTAGAAAGCAAGCAAACAAAAACAAAAAAACACCAGAGCAAGCAGAAGGAAGGAAATAGTAAAGATCAGAGCAGAAATAAATGAAATAAAGATCAAAAAAAAATTGAAAGGATCAAGAAACAAAGAGCTGCTTTTTCCAAAAAATACACAAGATTGATGGACCCTAAGCTAGACTCACCAAGAAACAGAGAGAGAGAACCCAAATACACAAAATCAGAAATGAAAGAGGGGAAGTAACAACTGACACCACAGAAATAAAAAAGATCTTTAACAACTACTATGAATAATTATATGGTAACAAATTCGACAATCTAAGCGAAATAGACAACTTTATAGAAACACACAGTCTCCCAAAACTGGACTGGGAAGGGATAGAAAATTTGAACAGACCAATAACAACTAAGGAAATTGAAGATGTAATCAAGACTCTCCTGGCAAACAAAAACCCAGGCCCGGATGGCTTCACGGGGGAGTTTTACCGAACATTGAAAAAAGAACTAACACCCATTCTCCTCAAACTATTTCAAAAACTTCAAGAAGGAAGACTTCCAAAGTCGTTCTATGAGGCCAACATAATTCTAATTCCAAAACCAGAAAAAAAACACTACAAAGAAAGAAAACTACAGGCCAATACCCCTGATGAACATAGATGCCAAAATCCTGAACAAAATACTAGCAAATCGAATCCAGCAATACATCAAAAAAATTATTCACCATGACCACGTGGGATTCATCCCAGGGATGCAAGTCTGGTACAATATTTGCAAATCAATAAATGTGATACACCACATAAATAAAATGAAGAGGAAAAACCACATGATCATATAAATAGATGCTCAAAAAGCATTTGACAAAATCCAGCATCCATTTCTGATAAAAACACTCAGCAATGTGGGAATAGAGTGATCATATCTTGACATAATAAAGGCTATGTATGAAAGACCTACAGCCAACATCTTACTCGACGAGCAGAAACTAAAACCATTTCCCTTAAGAACAGGAATAAGACAGGGATGCCCACTTTCACCACTCTTATTTAACACAGTACTGGAAGTCAGCCACAGCAATCGGAAATGAGGAAAAAATAAAAGGGATCCAAATTGGAAAGGAGGAAGTGAAACTGTCATTATTTGCAGATGATATGATATTATACATAGAAAACCTTAAAGACTCCATCAAAAATCTACTGGACTTAATAAATGCATTTAGCAAAGTAGCAGGATACAAAATTAACGTCAAGAAATCGACAGCATTCTTATACACCAATAATAAACTCACAGAAAGAGAAACTGAAACAACAATCCCATTTACCATCGTGGCAAAAAATTAAGATACCTAGGAATAAACTTAACCAAAAAAGTAAAGGTCCTATTTGCAGAAAACTACAGAACATTGAAAAAAGAAACAGAGGAAGATACAAAAATATGGGAGCACATTCCTTCTGCATGAATTGGAAGAATTAACATCATTAAAATGTCCATATTACCCAAAGCAATCTATAGATTCTATGCAATCCCCATCAAAATACCAACAACATATTTCACAGTACAAGAAGAAATACTTCAAAAGTTCATATGGAACTAAAAAAGATCCCGAATAGCCTTAGCAATCTTGAAAAAGAAGGACAAAGTACGTGGGATCACAATACCAGATATCAGGTTATAGTACAAAGTGACTGTAATTGAAACAGCCTGGTACTGGCACAAGAACAGGCTTATAAACCAGTGGGACAGAACAGAGAACCCAGAAATGGACCCAAGACATTATGCTCAATTAATATTTCACAAAGGAGGCAAGAACATACAATGGAGTAAAGACAGCCTCTTTAATAAATGATGTTGGGAAAATTGGACAGCTTCATGCAAAAAAATGAAACGAAAACATCAACTTACACCATACACAAAAATAAACTCAAAATGGATAAAAGACTTACATGTGACCCATGAATCCATAAAAATTCTAGAAGAAAATGTAGGCAACAAAATTTCGGACCTCATAGGCAGCACAATTTTCACTGATACATCACGTAAGGCAACAGAAAAAAGGAGAAACATGGGGACACATCAAACTCAAAAGCTTCTGCACAGCAAAAAAACATTTAAATGGAAAGGCAACCCACTGTATGGAAGAACATCATTGCCAATGATACATCAGATAAGGGGTTAATTTCCAAAATATATAGACTACTCATATAACTCAACAAAAGGAAGACAAAGAACACAATTAAAAATGGGCAGAGGAGCTGAACAGACCCTCTCCAAACAGGACATACAAATGGCCAAGAGACATATGAAGAAATGCTCAACATCACTAATCATCAGAGAGATGTAAATTAAAACAACAATGAGGTATCACCTCACACCTGTCAGAATGGCCGCCATCAACAAATCATCAAACAAGTGTTGGTGAGGGTGTGGAGAAAAGGGGACTCTAGTATACTGCTGGTGGAAATGCAGACTGGTGCAGCCACTATGGAAAACAATATGGTGTTACCTCAAAAAATTAAAAATTGAACTTCCATTTGACCCAGTGATACCATTCTAGGAATATACCCTAAGAAGCCTGAAACACCAATCAGAAAGAATATATGTACCCCCATGTTCATATCAGCCCTATTTATAATAGCTAAGATCTGGAAACAGCCCAAATGTTCATCAGTAGACGAATGGATAAAAAAGCTGTGGTACCTATACACAATGGAGTACTATGCAGCTGTAAGAAAGACAGATCTCTTATCTTTTGAGGTGACATGGAGGGACCTGGAAAGTATTATCCTAAGCAAAACAAGCCAAGCAGAGAAAGACAAATATCACATTATCTCACTTATTTGTGGAATATAATGAACATAACAGTCTGAGGAATATGGTAGACCCAGAGACGTGGAAGTAGGGTACAGACTTGACAACCCTCAGAAGAGGGGATGGTGGGGGGAGTGAAGAGATAAACCACATAACTTATATGCATGTACGTATAACCAATGGACATGGACAACAAAGTAGGGGTTGGGGTGGCGGTGATGGGGAAGAGGGTTTCAGTGTGGTAAAAAAGGAGAAACATCTATAACAAAAATAAAATTTAAAAAAAAAATTTTTTTTCTTTATTGATTTCCAGAGAGAAAGGAAGGAAGAGGGAGAGAGAGAGAGAGAGACATCAACCAGGTAGAACATGATTGGCCACCTCCTGCATGCCCCCTACTGGGGTCTGGGCCCACAACCTGGGCATTTGCGCCAACCAGGAATAGAACTGTCAACCTCCTGGTGCATGGGTCAATGCTCAACCACTGAGCCACACCAGCTGGGCCATACATGGAATTTAAAATTTTCTAGTAGGGGACTTCCGGTCAAGATGGCATCATAGGTAAACGTGATATCGTATCCTCTCACAACCAAATCAAAGTTACAACTAAACTACAGAACAACCATCATTCAAAACAACCTGACATCAAGCTGAATGTAAGTCCTACTACTAGGAAATTAAAAAAGAAGCTGCATCGAGACTGTTAGGAGGGGCAGAGGCGCAATGGGCTGGTCCCACACCTACATGTGGCAGAAAAAAATTAGGACACCTTGGCTGGGAAGGTCCTTCCTGAGGACTGAGGGACCCCGTCTCACACCAGGCACCCAGCTCAGGTTTCCAGTGCCAGGATGAGAATCCCCATCACTTCTGGCTGGAAAAACCAGAGGGAACTGAGGCTGAGGCAGCTCCTCTTAAAAGGCCCGCACACAGAGTTACTCGGATTTGTACCCTTCAGGCTACAAAGGTGGGGGAGGCAGCTTGAAAGGCACCAGAGACATATGAGGAAGAACTGAGTTGTTTGGCATTGGAAAGAGGGCTGGAGAGGCTGCTTTCTCCTGGACAGATGGGCTATCAGAGGCCTTTGTTTCATTGATGAGCACTTCCCTGGGGCAGCACACAGCCCCCATATCTGGGACTCCCAGCAACTTGGCTCACAATGTTTGCCCCTCCCTGGTGATTCCCTGAGGCCCTGCCCCACCCAACTTTCCAGTCCACCCGAGCTGTTGCCAGTTGCTTTACCATAAGAATGGCCTGTCTTGAATCCTGCTACAGGTTTTCCTAAAGTCTTTCAAACAAGCAGTAACTGGTCTCAGCTAGACCCATACCTCTAGTTAAGCAATACATAGACATAAACACAGGGAGGCAGCCAAAATGAAGAGACAAAGAAACAGGTTCCAAATGAAAGAACAGAACAAAATTCCAGGAAAAGAACTAAGTGAAATGGAGATAAGCAACCTAACAGATGCTGAGTTCAAAATACTGCTTATGCCCTGGCCGGTTTGGCTCAGCGGTTAGAGCGTCGGCCTGCGGTCCGGAGAGACCCGGGTTCGGTTCCCGCTAAGGGCACGTACCTTGGTTGCAGTTTGTCCCCAGCCCTGGTTGGGTCGTGTGGGTGGCAACCACTCAATGTGTCGCTTTCACGCCAATGTTTCTCTCTCTCTCTCTCTCTCTCTCTCACTCTATCTAAACAAAATATCGAAAAATGTCCTCAGGTGAGGATAAAAAACAAAACAAAACAAAACACTGCTTATAAGGATATCCGATGAACTTAGTGAGAACCTCAATGAACTGAGTGAGGGCCTCAACAGCATAAAAAAAAGACCAGTCAGAAATGAAGGAGGCACTAACTGAAATAAAGAATAATTTACACAGATTCAATAGTAGAGTAGGTAAAGCCAAGAAGCAAACCATCCATTTGAAATATAAGGAATCAAAAAACACCCAATCAGAATAGCAAAAAGAAAAAAGAATCCAAAAACATAAGGATAGTGTAAGGAGCCTCTGGAACAACTTCAAGGGTACCAACATTCACATCTTGCGGATGCCAGAAGGAGAAGAAAGAGAACAAGAAATCGAAAACCTATTTGAAACAATAATGGCAGAAAACTTCCCTACCTTGGTGAAGAAAACAGGCATACAAATCCAGGAAGCACAGAGAGTCCCAAACAAGATGAACCCCAAAAGGTCCACATCAAGACACATCATCATCAAAATGCAAAAGGTTCAAGACAAAGAGAGAATCTTAAAAGCAGCAAGAGAAAAGCAGTTAGTTACCTACAAGGGAGTTCCCATAAGACTGTCAGCTGATTTCTCAAAAGAAACTTTGCAGGCCAGAAGCGGGTGGCAAGAATTATTCAGAGTGATGAAAAGCAAGAACCTACAACCGAGATTACTCTATCCTGCAAAGCTGTCATTTAGAATTGATGGCCATATAAAAACTTTCCCAGACAAGAAAAAGTTAAAGGAGTTCATCACCACCAAACCGTTATTATATGAAATGATGAAGAGTCTTTTTGAAGAAAAAGATAAAAAATATGAACAAACAAAATGGTAATGAATACATATCTATCGACATTTGAATCTACAAACAAAATGAACAGGAAGAACAGAAGCATTCTCATAGATACAGAGAACATTTTGTTGGTTGCCAGATGGGAGTGGGTTTCGGGGAATGGGTAGAAAAGGTAAAGGGATTAAGAAGTACAAATTGGTTGTTAGACCGACAAACCTCAAAGGGAAGGAGGATTGAGGCATGGGAAGAGATAAACCAAAGAACACACAGACAACGGTGTGTGTGGGGAAAGGCAGGAGGGGGGTGGGAGTGGAGAAGAGGAAATAGGGGAAAAATGAGGAACATCTGTAATACATTCAACAATAAAAATGAATTAAATAAAATTAAATAAATAAAATTTTCTAGTAGCCATATTAAAAATTAAAAGAAACAGATGAAATTAATTTTAATACATATATACCCAACATATCAAAAATTCAGCATACAGGGTGGGGCAAAAGTAGGTTTACAGTTGTTCGTATGGTAAATAATAAAATTAATTAATAATACAAGAATAAACTGTTTTGCATACTCACAACTGTAAACCTACTTTTGCCCCACCCTGTATATATCAATATAAAAATTATTAATGAAATATTTACCATTTCTTTTTCTGTACTAAATCTTCTAAATGAGTATGTAATTTATACTTACAACATATATCAATTAGATTAACTACATTTCAAGTTCACAGTCATCACAAGTAGCTAGCTAGTGGCCACCCTTCTAGACCACGGAGCCTAAAAGAATAAGCCCAGTGTGCTAGTTGACAAGCACAGCTTTGAGTCACACAGAATGGCTAGGGAGCCAACCTAGCCTGGGTCCAAATCCCTGTCAAATCACTGTCTCCAGGTGCAGCCTATGTAAAGTTACTTAATAGTTCTAAGCCTCAATTTCCTCACCCCAGGTTTCCCCCAGATGAGGACAGTAAAAGTATTGCACCTCACTGAGGTATTGGGAGGACAGATGAGATAATACGTACAGAATGCTTGGTGGATTGTTAAGTACTCACCGATGGCAGTTATGACTATTCCAATAAAAACAGAGAGCACAGGCTTAACTCATGGGTCTAGGGTGAGCACTGGAAAGATGGAGTTAACTGCTGACACCACAGAACTGTGTTTGGCTATGAGGGCACAAAGAGTGCACAACAGAAACTGGAAGGCCAAGGATATCTAGGTACGAAGGGTCAATGTGAGTTAAAGAACAGCCGTGGCTGATTCACAGCTGAAGGAGCATGGCAGTTCTCCCTCTGCATTACCTATAGGCACTCTGCATCCAACCCAATGAAGTCAAACAGCTATCCCATAGAAAGGGCATCAGGTACAACCTTATAATCACAATATAAACACAGACTATTAGAGCTGAAAACTATCTATCAGTCAATCCAAACCCTTATTTTAAGGGTAGGAAAACTGAGTCTGAAAGGTTAAGTTACTCAGGTTCAATCAGCAAAACCAGGAACAGAATCTACCTCCTAGATCACATAGTGTTCTTTTCACTGCTCCATACTTTTTCTCAAAATAGTTTTGACAGTCACAACCCTTCCTCAAATTGTATTCACTGTAGGGTAATTTGTATTATATTATGAAAGTCTGTATTTAGTTTTTTTAAAAGAAAATCTAAATATTCTATGCTTACTTCCATTCCTCGAGCTCGGTTTACTAAACAGTACACCTCCGTGAGTGACATTATACCTCCTCGTTCCTGTTAAAATATAAAAATTTAAACAGTATTGTGTTATAATTGCACCAGTTAGCATTTCTTAGAAATCACAGAGTGAAATCAGAAATTATAAAATGTATTGAGAAGCTTTTAAAAATACTATTTACAAACAGGAGAACTTAGATACCATGAGACATTCAAATTCAATACTTGGACATTAATGTCTTTATTACTCTTCTAACATTTCCTTAAATGAAAAGAGCATTCTCTACCATGTTTCAAAAGTGTTATAAGAAGATTCCAAAATGGCGGCGGAGTGAACGGAAGCTACATAGACCGTCTCCCAGAACCAAACTATCATTACAACTATAACACAGACAAATTGATGAGAAAAAGCAACAGAAAAGCAGCTTACAAGAACCATATAACGAGGGACACTGACTCCATCTTGATAGGATTGCAAAGGCGCGAGACAGGGACTGGGAGCCCACAGACAGCAGCGGCCTTAGCTGGGAGCAGCACCCTCAGGTTAACCTCCCAAGGAGCTCCACAGCGCAAAGCCGGGACAGAGGCTAAAAAAGGCACAGTCACTCCCCTGGGGCTCTGGCAGAGGGAGGGCAGACTGGACTGGAACTGTGTGGGGACACGGGATTTGGAGGGCACTCAGAGCTTTTGCTGAGTTGCTGCCCCGCAGGGCAGTGGCCCTCTTGCTCCTTCAAAGGGCTCTAGGGAGAGTCAGCAGCCCCTCCCTCGGAGACCCAACCCCACCCTGTGGGCCATTGAAATGCTAATTGAGGCTCATTAACAACCAGCATCTGCCTCACCCTCTGGAAATCCCCTTATATAGAGCACCTGAGGGAGTTTTTCAATCAACTGACAACCAAAACTCTTCAAGTAACCTGGACTGCTAGTCTCCAGGCAAAAAGCTAGAGGATAACAGTACCTTTCCTGAGCTGGCAACTTTAACCAGGAAAGTAAGACTTGACAGTGGTGTTTAACATGAGTACTCCCTCGCTCATCTAAACCCAGGAGAGGGATCCACCAACAGCAGAACACCAACACCCACAGGGAAAAGGTGACAGGCTCCAAAGCCCACTGTGATAGCCAAAATGGTGAAACACAGAAAGAAAACCCAAATGAAAGCATAAGAGGCCTCCACCGAAGATGAGATCAATGTGGAGCAGTTAGGCAAGTTAACAGAGCTAGAATTCAGAGCCATGATCTTGAAGAAGCTCAACAGCATGAGTAAGGACATAGAGATGCTGACAATAAACCAAATGGAAATTAAAAACAAACAAGAAGAGATCAAAAATGACATATCAGAAATGAAAAACACATTGGAAGGTTTAAAAAGCAGAGTAGGCGAAGCTGAGGACCGAATGAGTGAATTAGAAGACAGGGTAGAAAAATATCAACCAATCAAAAAACCAAAAGGAAAAAACGATTAAAAACCAGGAAGACACTTTAAGAGAACTGTGGGACAACGAAAAATGTAATAATATTTGCATCATAGGAGTCCCGGAAGAAGAAAATGAACAAGGGTCAGAGAATGTACTGAAAGAAATAGTGACAGAAAACTTCCCTAATTTGGTGAAGGAAGAAGGCATTCAAGTTGAAGAAGCACAGAGAGCCCCAAGGAAGAAGAACCCAAACAGGCCCACACCAAGACACATAGTAATTAAAATGCCAAAAATTACAGACAAAGAGAGAATCCTAAAAGCAGCAAGAGATAAGCAACAGGTTACCTACAAAGGAAACCCCATAACGCTATAAGCTGACTTCTCACAAGAAACACTACAGGACAGAAGGAAATGGCATGAAGTAATCAAGGTCATGAAAAACAAGGATCTGAATCCAAGACTACTCTACCCAGCTAGGCTAGCATTCAAAATAGAAGGTCAAATAAAGAGCTTACCAGACAAAAAAAGGCTAAGGGAATACATTAGCACCAAACCAGCAATGCAAGAAATGTTAAAAGGACTACTGTAATTAGTAGAAGAAATAGGAAGAAAATTATAACCACACTAAACAAAAATGGCAATAAACAAGTACATATCAATAATCACCTTGAATGTAAATGGACTGAATGCTTTGAAAAAAAAAGACACAGAGTAGTTGATTGGATAAGAAAGCATGACTCATCTATATGTTTTTTTCAAGAGACCCAACTCACAACAAAAGACTCACATAGGTTGAAAGTGAAGGGATGGAAAAAATTTTCCAAGCAAAGGGAAACCAAAAAAAGCTGGGGTAGCAATACTCCTATCTAATAATATAAATATCAAAATGAAGGCCATAACTGGAGATAAATAAGGCCACTACATAATATTGAAAGGATCTATCCAACAGGAAGATATAATCTTGATAAACATATATGCACTAAATATAGGGGCACAAACTATATTAAAAATCTTCTGGAGGACTTCCAAGGAGAAATCGACAGCAATACAATCATGCAGAGGACTTCAACACCCGTTGACAACACTGGATAGATCCTCTAGACAAAAAATTAGCAAGGAAACAGAGACTCTAAATAAAGCACTATACTAAATGGATTTAAAAGATATCTACATAGAATTACACCCCAAAACTAGAGAATTCACATTCTTCTCAAGTGCACAAGAGACATTCTCAAAGATAGACCACATGATAGGACACAAACTAAATCTCTACAAGTTCAAGAAGACTGAAATCATATCAAGCATCTTCTCAGATCACAATGGCATGAAACTAGAAATCAATTGCAACAAGAACATACAAAGACATTTGAACACATCAAAGATAAATAGCATGTTATTAAACAATGAACGGGTTACCGAGGAAATCAAGGAAGAAATTAAAAACTTCCTGGAAACCAATGAAAATGAACACACAACAACACACAATCTATGGGATGCAGCAAAAGGAGTTCTGAGAGGGAAGTTCATAGCACTACAGGCCTGCCTAAAGAAACAAGAAAAATTTCTAATTGACTTTATAACCTCACAACATAACGAATTAGACTGCAAACAAAAAGAAAACCACAGAGCAAGTAGAAGGACGGAAATAGTAAACATCAGAGCAGAAACAATTCAAAGGATCAATTAAACAAAGAGCCGCTTTTTCCAAAAGATACACAAGATTGATGGACCCTTACCTAGACTCACCAAGAAACAAAGAGAGAGAACCCAAATATACAAAACCAGAAATAAAAGAGAAGTAACAACCAACACCACAGAAATACAAAAGATTGTTAACATCTACTATGAACTAATATATGGCAACAAATTCGACCATCTAAGCAAAATGGACAAATTTCTAGAAACACACAGTCTTCCAAAACTGGACTGGGAAGAGATAGAAAACTTGAACAGACCAATAACAACTAAGGAAATTGAAGACGTAATTAAGACTCTACCGGCAAACAAAAGCCCAGACCTGGATGGCTTCACGGGGGAGTTTTAAGGAACATTCATAAAAAAACTAACACCCATTCTCCTCAAACTATTTCAAAAATTCAAGAAGAAGGAAGACTTCCAACTCGTTCTATGAGGCCAGCATAATTCTAATTCCAAAACCAGAAAAAGACACTACGAAGAAAGAAAACTACAGGCCAATATCCCTGATTAACACAGATGCCAAAATCGTGAACAAAATACAAGCAAATCGGATCCAGCAACACATCAAAAAAATTATTCACCATGACCAAGTGGGATTCATCACAGGGATGCAAGGCTGATATAATATTCGCACATCAATAAATGTACTACACCACATAAACAAAATGAGGAATAAAAACCACATGATCATAAAAATAGACGCTGAAAAAGCACTCGACAAAATCCAGCATCCATTTCTGATAAAAAACGCTCAGCAATGTGGGAATAGAGGAATCATATCTCGACATAATAAAGGCCATATATGAAAGACCTACAGCCAACATCATACTCAATGGGCAGACTAAAAGCATAAAAAATCTACTAGACTTAATAAATGCATTTGGCAAAGTAGCAGGATACAAAATTAACGTCAAGAAATCGACGGTATTTTTATACATCAATGATGAACGCACAGAAAGAGAAACTGAAACAACAATCCCATTTACCATCGTGGCAAACAAAATTAAGATACCTAGGAATAAATTAAACCAAAGAAGTAAAGGACCCCTTTTCAGAAAACTACAGGACATTGAAAAAAGAAATAGAGGAAGATAAAAAAAGTCGAAGCACATACCTTGTTCATGGATTGGAAGAATTAACATCATTAAAATGTCCATACTACCCAAAGCAATCTATAGATTCAATGCAATCCCCATCAAAATACCAACGACATATTTCACAGAATTAGAATAAATACTTCAAAAGTTCATATGGAACCAAAAACGTCCCCGAAGGGCCACAGCAATTTTGAAAAAGAAGGACAAAGTAGGTGGGATCACAATACCAGATATCAGGTTATACTACAAAGCCACTGTAATTAAAACAGCCTGGTACTGGCACAAGAACAGTCATATAGACCTGTGGAACAGAACTGAGAGCCCAGAAATGGACCCAAGGTAATATGCTCAATTAATATTTGACACAGGTGGCAAGAGCATACAGTGGAGTAAAGACAGCCTCTTTAATAAATGGTGTTGGGAAAATTGGACAGCTACATGCAAAAAAAAGAAACTAGACCATCAATTTACACCATACACAAAAATAAACTCAAAATGGATAAAAGACTCAAATGTGACCTGTGAATCCATAAAAATTCTAGAAGAAAATGTAGGCATCAAAATATCGGACATCATATACAGTAGAATTTTCACTGATACATCACCTAAGCCATCAGAAACAAAGGAAAAAATGAACACATGGGACTACATCAAACTCAAAAGCTTCTGCACAGCAAAAGAAACAATCATCAAAATGAAAAAGCAAGCCACTGTATGGGAGAGCATCATTGCCAATGATACATCAGATAAAGCGTTAATTTCCAAAATATACAGAGTACTCATACAACTCAACAAAAGGAAGACAGAGAACCCAATTAAAAAATGGGCAGAGGACCTAAATAGACACCTCTCCAAACAGGACATACAAATGGCAAAGAGACATATGAAGAAATGCTCAACATCACTAATCATCAGAGAGATGCCAATTAAAACAACAATGAGGTATCACCTCACACCTGTCAGAATGGCCGCCATCAACAAATCATCAAACAACAAGTGTTGGTGAGGGTATGGAGAAAAGGGGACTCTAGTACACTACTGTTGGGAATGCAGACTGGTGCAGCCACTATGGAAAACAATATGGTGTTACCTCAAAAAATTAAAAATTGAACTTGCATTTGACCCTGTGATCCCACTGCTGGGAATATACCCTAAGAAGCCTGAAACACCAATTAGATAGAATATATGTACCCCCATGTTCATAGTAGCACTATTTACAATAGCTAAAATCTGGAAACAGCCCAAGTTTCCATCAGTAGATGAATGGATAAAAAAGCTGTGGTACATATACACATGGAGCACTATGCAGCTCTAAGAAAGAAAGATCTCTTATCCTTTGCAAGGACATGGAGAGATCTGGAAAGTATTATCCTAAGTGAAATAAGCCAAGCAGAAAAAGACAAATATCTCATGATCTCACTTATATACAAAATCTAATGAACATAATAGTCTGAGGAATATGGTAGACCAGAAACATGGGAGTAGGGCACAGACTGACATCACTCAGAAGAGGGGGTTGGGGGGGTGGAAAGAGATAAACCACAGAACTTATATGCATGTATGCATAACCAATGGACATGGACAACAAAGCCGGGGACGGGGTGAGGGACATGGGGAGGGGGTTGCCAATGGGGTAAAAAAGGAGAAACATCTGTAACAAAAAAAAAATTTTTTTTTAAATAAATATACAAATCAACTCTGACAGAAAAAAAAAAAAGTGTTTTAAATTATTCCAGCTAATAAACAAAGAAGAAACTGTAGAACTAAATAAGAGAGACTTGCGGTCAAGATGGTGGCATAGGTAAACGCGGTATCGCGTCCTCCCACAACCACATCAAAGTTACAACTAAACTACAGAACAATCATCATTCAAAACCGCCTGAAATCAAGCTGAATGGAAGTCCTACAACTACGGAATTAAAACAGCAGCCACATCCAGACTGTAGGGGGGTCGGAGCCCCGAGGGCTGGTGGTGAGTTGAACTGGTCCCACACCCACGTGTGGCGGATAAAAATCAGGAGGACACCTCGGCTGGGAAGGTCCTTCCTGAGGACTGAGGGGTCCCCGTCCCACACCAGGAGCCCCGCTCAGGGTTCCAGTGCCAGGTAGAGAATCCCCATAACCTATGGCTGGAAAAACCAGTGGGAACTGAGGCGCAGGGAGACTGCGGCAGCTGGAGACCCAGGCATCTCCTTAAAGGGCCCGCGCACAGACTTATCGGACTCTCTCCCTCTAAGCTTGGAGGGGAGGCAGCTCGAGGGGCACCAGAGACATACAGGGAAGAACTGAGCTGTTTGGCACTGGAGCGAGGGCTGGAGAGGGGGCTTTCTCCGGGACAAACATGGTGTCAGAGGCCTTTGTTCCTTTGGTGAGCCCTTCCCTGGGGCAGCAGACAGTCGCCATATCTGGGACTCCAGCAACCTGGCTCACACTGGTAGCCCCGCCCTGGTAACTCCCTGAGGCCCAGGCCCGCCCCACCCCACTTTCAGGCCCACCCAAGCTGTTGCCACTTGCTTAACCATAGGATTGGCCTGCCTTGGATCCTGCTTCAGGTTTTTCCTAAATTCTTTCAAACAAGCAGCATCTGGTCTCAGCTAGCCCCATACTGCTCGTTAAGTAATACACAGAAACAAACACAGGGAGGCAGCCAAAATGAGGAGACAAAGAAACAAGTCCCAAATGAAAGAACAGAACAAAACCCCAATAAAAGAACTAAGCAAAATGGAGATAAACAACCTAACAGATGCTGAGTTCAAAATACTGCTTATAAGGATACTCAATGAACTCAGTGAGAACCTCAGTGAACTTAGTGAGGGTCTCAAGAGCATAAAAAAGGACCAGTCAGAAATGATGGATGCACAGTCAGAGAAGGAGGCATTAATTGAAATAAAGAATAATTTACACAGATTCAATAGTAGAGTAGGTAAATCCAAGAAGCAAACCATCGATTTGGAACATAAGGAAGCAAAAAACACCCAATCAGAACAGCAAAAAGAAAAAAGAATCCAAAAAAGGGAGGATAGTGTAAGGAGCCTCTGGAACAACTTCAAGCGTGCCAACATTCGCATCTTGGGGGTGCCAGAAGGAGAAGAGCAAGAACAAGAAATCGAAAACCTATTTGAAACAATAATGGCAGAAAACTTTCCTAACTTGGTGAAGGAAACAGGCATACAAATCCAGGAAGCACAGAGAGTCCCAAACAAGATGAACCCCAAAAGGCCCACACCAAGACACAGCATCATCATCAAAATGCAAAAGGTTCAAGACAAAGAGAGAATCTTAAAAGCAGCAAGAGAAAAGTAGTTAGTTACCTACAAGGGAGTTCCCATAAGACTGTCAGCTGATTTCTCAAAAGAAACTTTGCAGGCCAGAAGGGAATGGCAAGAATTATTCAGAGTGATGAAAAGCAAGAACCTACAACCGAGATTACTCTATCCTGCAAAGCTGTCATTTAGAATCGATGGCCATATAAAAACTTTCCCAGACAAGAAAAAGTTAAAGGAGTTCATCACCACCAAACCGTCATTATATGAAATGATGAAGGGTCTTTTTGAAGAAAAAGATAAAATATATGAGCAAACAAAATGGCAATGAATACATATCTATCAACAATGGAATCTACACACAAAATGAACAGGTAGAACAGAAACATTCTCAGAGATACAGAGAACATTTTGTTGGTTGCCAGTTGGGAGGGGGGTTGGGGGAATGGGTGAAAAAGGTGAAGGGATGAAGAAGTACAAATTCATTGCTAGATTGACAAACCTCAAAGGGAAAGGAGTTGAGGGGGTGGGAAGAAATAAACCAAAGAACTTATATACATAACCAATGGACACAGACAATTGTGTGGGAAAAGGCAGGAGGGGGGCGGGAGTGGGGAGGAGGGGGTCAATGGGGGGAAAATGTGGAACATCTGTAATACATTCTACATTCAACAACAAAGATTTAAAAGAAGAATATCACCATTTTGCTACTCTTAATGAATAATCCAGATAATGACTGTCAATGGCTACGAACATCATAAAGAAAAGACAATCAAACATTATGTACCTCCTGATGAAACTGTACAACACTTCTATGACGTATTCTTGTCAGAAAAAAAAAGAACTTCTAGATATAACTATCAGTTTACAGGGTACCATGATAACATACAAGTCAGCAAAATCCAGATTGAGATAATATCAGATAAACTACTAGTTTCTCCAATCAATAAATTGGGAGGTGAGGGGTCGGCTGAGGGTACAGACGAAGAAGGGAAAACCCATAAAATTTAAAAAAAAAAAAAAAAAAAACTTGAGAGACAACCAATTGCAGTGTATCCTGATTTGAACAAACCAACTGTAAGAGGAAATGTGAACAATAAGCTGATATTTAATAATATTAAAAACTAATTTTTAACTTTTTTTAATCCTCATCAAAGGATATTTTTCCATTGATTTTCAGATACAGTAGGAGGGAGGGAGGGAAGGGGAGAGAGAGAGAAAAAAATAAACATCGATGTGAAAGAGACACATTAATTAGTTGCCTCCCACATGACCCTGACCAGGGCCGGGGATCGAACCTGCAACCCAGGTACATGCTTTTGACTGGGAATCAAACTCACACCTCTTTAGTCCTCAGATCAACGCTCTAACTGGTGAGCCAAACCAGCCAGGGTTATTTTTAACCTTTTAGGTGTGAAATGGGATTATAATTACATTTAAAGGTGTATTTATTATTATTACATGCTGAAATATTTACAGATAAAGTGACATGAGTCTGGGATCTGCTTTACAGTAATTCTGAGTGGAGGTTAGCTTAGAGAAGAAGTTTTATGATGGGCACACAAGAATTCATTAGTCTATGTTGTCATATATTTGAAATATTTCTTAATACAAGTGCTTTAATAAATAAAGTTCTGATTGCCCGAATAGACGAAGATAAATCTTATGATGAAATTAACAGAACATATACAGGGTGGGGCAAAAGTAGGTTTACAGTTGTGAGTACATGAAACACAAAATTTTTTCCTGTATTATTATTTTTATTGTATTATTTTCCATACGAACATCTGTAAACCTGTATATTGACTACTTATATACAAATATATCTAAATATATAGAGATCACATATTTCCTTCTGAAAAGAGGGAAGAAAAATTACAGATCAACTAGATTTAGAAAGCTATAAATATCTGAAGTGAAAATTAAAGTCAATTTAGAAGATTATGGACAAAGAATCCATTAATAAGTACACTGAACTAATTTAATATTCCTAAAAGAAAAAAATAACATGATGGTTGAATAGTAACCATACCTGAAAGGCGTTAGGCTTTTATTAAGATTTCTGATGACATGGATATAATTTAACACAATTTAAAAAGACCACTTAGGTTTTGTTTTTACCTCTAAAGGTGTCTGCAATATTCCAGCTAACTGTTTAGCCAGCTGCATGTGGTACTGTGTGCCTGAGCCGTAGGTTTCCCTGGTGACTGGGTTAGCTATTCCCATGCTCAGCAAATAGGATTTAAACCTGATGGTCTATAATAGGAGGAGAAAATGCACAAAGAGACAACTCAGAATTAGTCTCTCCATTCCAACATTCGAAATCCTTTCATCATAAATTCAATTCTACTCAATTATTCCTCATAGTTCCCTGCATAAATCTAATTATCCTTCCTTTTATCTTGCTATCTCATACTCCCTTTACCTCACAAGTTTGGTGTGAGAGGTGATTTAAATAACAACTATGCTATGGTTAATGCCAACCAAATGATACAATTGAGAACTTGGAAGAATATCTGTGACCAGACTGTAGACAAATTTAATGAGATAAGAAACTTATGATGTATAAAACAGGCATTCTTACATATTTCAATATCTGTTTTATATACTCCAAGAAAAGCTACTGAAATATCCTACAATCCTAGAATTAACAGTTTTTATGGCTGACTTTTTTTTAGCATTTTCGTATGTCCTCAAGTCCTAAAAGAAGTAAAACACTACATTAAAAAAGCAAACTGGTAAACCACCAAAACATCACTGCATTATTTGTGTAGTTTCTAATGCCTTAAAAAGCAACCTATTTACCTCATCTTCTGTGATGTCACCTTGCTTGTCTTTAATCTTATTAGCAATTAATTTTGATAACTCCACCATTTCTTTAGCCTGTAAAGAGAACAGTAAAAGACTAAAAAGAAATACTGTCCCCAAAGTGTCTGCTAACAGAATACATTTTCAAAACTGTATCATAATTGGTATGGAATTAATAGGTATAAATGACATACCTTGACCATTAGCTTGCTGAGGTCTTCAAAGGCCTGAAATGAGAAATGAGTTTTGTTGGAATCTGTCTAAATAATTAAAATGTTTTAAAGTAATGAAGCACTCTATTTTCTTTCCTATGATAAAAATTTATGAAATTTTCTTACATGTCAATTTACTTATATAAATATTTATACAAGTGATAAATCTACCTTGTTCTAAGAAGTTAGTTTAGCGAAGAAACCATAAATTTTCCAAAACAAACTTGCAAAAACAACTTTTAAAATTTTCAAAGAGAAAAGATGATTATACAAATAGTTGATATAAGTAATAGTTCAGAAAATATTATTTACTGTTCTTTAGCACAAGTTAAGAAAATTTGTCACTGGCTTTTCCCAAACCATTTCCTGATAGGAGGCATTGTAAAGCTTTCCTGGCTGAAAACAGCAATAGGCAGCTGCCGGAATGCTTTGGGCATAACCTTTTTGTCTCTAATAGTAACAGGTGTGATTTAACTGAAACCATAAATCTCAGACTCTGAACACTAAACAGATACCTGTGGTTTTGCATATAGTGAATACCACAAAATAAAAACATTCAAATACCACAAAAACATATCTAAATAAAATCCACTGATTGTTTAATTTACTACAATGACTATCTACTTCAAAGGTCTCTTCATATTTAATCATACATATTTATAATAAATTTGTTTCAAATTACCAAAAATATACTTCCAGTGCAGAATACCTTCTAATTGATGTGCACAGATGTTATTTTTCAAAAACCAATTAAGCAATATATCAGTAATTGAAAATCTTTCAGTTCACATAGAATAGTGATCAACAGGTTCTGATTAACTCATTCCCATCTTAATTATATGCAGGAAAGTATCCCCCATCAGCAAAAGGACTTTGCTAAAATAAGTGTTGTGTAGGGTTCTTATGGCTAACTCACTAAAGCTAATACTGAAAACAAAGGGGAATGTGCACACACCTAACAGGAATTTCCTCAGATAAACAAAGGCTTAAACACTGGATTCTTATCAGCGACAGCCAGCAGAGGCAGGAAACCTTCTGTGGGAAACTCTGGGCACCAGTTCTACAACTTAGTCAATTCTAACACTTACACGGAGGGCAAATCACACACCAACCCAGTGTTCAAAATTAAACACACCAACACTTTACACACTTAGATTTTTATTCTGAATATAAAAAGTTTAAGGAAGACAACACTTTTAAATTTTATATGGTAAATCACTTTATTTACTGTATTATATTTTCATTTAAAATGCTAAAATAGTGAGTTCACACAGAATACAAAGATTAGCCCTTATTCCTTATAGTTCATAAAAAATTAATATAAATATTATGTAGTTATATAAGAATTTCCTATAAAATAATTTGAATAATTATAAAACACAAACAAGTTTTCTCAATTCTATTTCTATTATTCTAAAATTTGAAATTACCAACTATCTTAAAAATGGGTGGAGAAACTACCTTCAATAAAATTAAAACTATATAGGTAAAAATGCAAATTAGATGCATGTGCTCATTCTATTATTTAATTTGCCAGTTTACAGAACCTTCTATCCCTCTACCATGTCCATAGTCAAATTTCCATTCCAATTTTGAAAAAAAAGTGGCATCCACCTTAAAACCAGGGGGTACCCCCTTAAGCCTATTTGTAGCATTATTTCTTACTGACTTCCATTCATTACTTTGGTTATTAGCTTCAGTAACTATTAATAAATTCTTTAATTTTCTATTTCAATATTATTTTTTTTTCCTCCTTTATTGATTTTAGAGAGATAGGGATAGAGAGAGAGAGAACACCGATTAGCTGCCTCCTGCATGCCCCCCAACTAGGGATTTGGCCCATAACCTGGGCAAGTGCCCTGATCAGGAATAGAACTGGTGACCTCTTGGTGCATGGGTCAATGCTCAACCACCAGTGTCACACTGGTGGGCTGTTTCAATATTGATTTTATACTTTTGCATATTCCATTCCCTCTGCCTGGATCCTTTTATTCCTACTAGTCATCTGCTAGTAACTGTTCAATTTTCAAGCCTTGACTTCCATTACTTCTGCTAACAAGCCTTCCCTGAGTCCAACAGAGGAAGGCCCATCATGTGTTTCTGTTGCAGCCACTATTTTCTCCTAACACAGCATTTCTCACATTGTAGAGAAAGCCCATGTGCCTGCCTGCCTGCCTGCCTGGCCTATCACCACAATATCTAAAACATCTGATGCAGGACTCACAAAATAGAGAGTAGGGACTGTCTGCTGAGTAAATCAGTGACCTGCATGAGAGAGCACAATGCTTCTGTAGAATACTTTGAGTTATATAACTCTGTGAAAATTAGACTGAAACACAGTAACATTTTATAAATTAAGAAAAACAATATTTTGAACACTAAATCAGGATGGCAGCATTCAGAAAAAGGAACACTAATAATGCAAAATTAACTCACTGCTTCATGCCATCTCCAAGTGTCACATTAAAAGAATGACAACAAAAGACAGTGACAGCACCTTCAGGGTGGCAAAGAAAATGGACATGATGTAGTGGACTACACTTGCCTGCAAAGCAAAAGATCCGAGTTCTCATAACCCTGGTTTCAAATCCAATCACTAGCTCTGAGACAATCATTTCTCTGGGTAGTAAGAACTCCTCTAATGCTAAAATGCTGGAATTTTATGGGACTAAAGGATTCAGGAAAGATGGTGGCTATGGAAGTATAGTTTTATAATCTCTCCAATTTGCTACATAAAAACAAACAGGGCAACTATATTTCAAAACCAAAAACCCACAGGCAGCTTATAGTACAAAACTACGGGACAAGATATCCAAAAATAACCCAAGGTACAAACAGATAGGAGAAACCACCAAGAGCCACAGGACCTGCATCTAGATGGCAGAAAGAAAAGGGAGGCACCAGGGCGACTGATAGATCTAAGTAAGAGAAAGCCACCAGATCCACAGGTGGTCACTGGAAAGGGAGATGGGCCAACCTGAGGACAGTAACTCACACTGGAAGAGGTCTGCCCACTTCAATGCTAGGTGGGTACAAGGGGTCCTCAGGAATGGCCGAAGCCGCCTAAGAACTCATGAAACTAAACCTTCAGGCTTCTCTTCCAGGACAGGATCCCACACTGAAGAGAAACTATTGAGAGAGGAATGAAAAACTGAGCAAGGTAGGGATAACAGAGAGAAAGAGAAAAAAGACTGATAAAATTGGGATGGAAACAGGGCCAGGAAACCACCGAAAGCAGCTGCCACCTTTTTAACACCGTATGAACACAGAAGAAGAGTGAGCTCTGAGGAGTGAGAAAGCCTACCCTGAACTACTCGAAAAGCTCAGGAAAACTAATTTCACAGGAAAATTAGCAACAGTAAAGTATCACAAAACTCAAAGAAAAAAATAAATAAGGAGAACAGTATTACATACAATGAAAGCATGCCAGAAAGACATGTTCATAGATCAGATTGAAATGTAACCTTTTATTTCAAATTGAGCTAAAAGATGTTTTAAAAATGACACAGGTTGTGAAAGGACAATATCGGGAATGAAGTGACAGAATTCAGGAAAAAATATTTTTAATCATTTCTAAAATAAAGACCACACTAGACAGAACATAAGAGTGAATAAACACAACAGATACCTTAAGAGAACAGGTGAAAAAAAGGAAAATTTTCTAAATAAAAAAGAAATGAAGAAAGAGGCAAAAAGTGTTTGGAAGTCACAAATAATGAAGATAGGAAGTAAAGCTACAAATACAGCTATTAGGATTTACAGAATAAAAAATAACAAAACAATTACTGAAAATTATGACATAGAAAAACTTCCCTGAAATTAAAAGAAAAAACTTCTGAAACCAAATACTGAAAGCATATTGGATAACAATCAAGAACAAGTAACATGTTCAAGTAAACACAGAGACACAATCTAGTAAAATTACTAGGTTTTATATTTTTAAAAAATAGTTCTTTGAGTATCTAAAGAAAAACAGCAAATGACTTTGAAGGGGTGAAGAAACTAGATTACCATCACTCTTTACCAGCAATACTTCATGCCAGACAAAAAAATTAAAAGTAACATACTGAAGGCACACAAAGAAAGAAAATGTGAGCCAAGGATTTTTAATCCACCCAAACTGACTTTCACATATAAGGAACACAAACATGCCAGAACTCAGGGAATATTGTTCCCATGAACATTTTCTAAAAAACCTATTAGAGAATGAGCTTCAGATAACCCAAATGAATAGAGGGAGATCAACATAAGGACGGAAGTCTTACACAAACAGATGCTTATAAAACTGAGACCAAATGAGAGCTAGAGGGGAACTAGTACATATAGTAGCAGAATGATCAGAGTGTAGATGCAGCAGCATATCTATTTTTAAAACATGGGAAGAATGGGAAGAACACATACACAAAAAATTGTTTTCAATTGTTTTAATAACTACTTGCTAGAGTAGTCCTGAATTTGAACAGGAAGTATCAGCATGACCTCACGAAGCATTTTATTTAAAAAAAAAAAAATCTAGCTCTGTTCACTGAAAAGGCCTGTAAACAAAGATCTATATCCAATAGATGTATATTCTTAACAAATAGACTGCAGTTTTGAAATACCATTTCCCAACAAGGAAAAGCAGAGCTTCTCAGATATGGTTGATTCCATATTTGGGGCAGGATATGATCAAGATGGTCCTGGAATTTGTTACACCAAATTATAAATAAGTAATCAAAGTCCACCAGATCACATCAAAAACACTCAGGAGCCAACCTGAAGAGGCTACCACTTGCCAAAGATAGGACAATTTGATCTTTAAATAAAATAATTGCAATTGATTGAAACTTATCAAATATGTTAAAATTTATGAATTCATAGTAATATGTAAAAAAAGAAAACCTAGTTAGTCACCACTGGAGGATAAGGAACCAATTTATTATCTTGATAATAAAGGGGGGCACTTATCCTGCCTTATATGAACTGTATCACTCAGTAGCCACACATTAGATGAAGGGAAGCATCTCGTTAAAAAGTATTCCAACTAATAAATGAAAAATAAATCACAGACGATTACCATTTGCAACCGCCAATTAACCAAAAGATTTATGCACTGAACATTAACAGCTGCCGACATCATAAAGAGACATGTGTGCCTCCTGATGAAAGAACACAGACCACTAGTCTTACCAAAGGGATCAAACATCAGTCTGATCAAGCCCTTGGATGCATAACTTGTTTTCTTAACTACAGTTCCTTTCCCTTCGCTTGAATTTCCTCATATATGATAAAGTTACAGAAACATTCTAATGTACATGCTCAGGATTATTCTAATTGAGGGGCTGGTTTAATCCATTCCTGTCTCTGTGTCTGGTCCCTGAGTGGTCATCAGCATTAAACTATGTGGCATCTGACCAGGATTAAAAATAGCATTTTTTCCTCAACTAAGTTAATCAAATGTCCAAATAATTATATAGAGGACCTTGAAATTCAATAAGAGTATCCTCCAATAAATTCCATCTAGATTTAAAATTTTTCACACAACAATCCATGATATTTTCTAACACCATAGAAAATAAATTTGCATTTCTTTTTTATTCCTTTATGGAAAAAGTTTTCAAAATACATTTTGGCTAAATTTTGCCAACCTAAAGTGGACCTATTAAGTGGAATAAGAAAGATACTGTGTAGCTTCAGGCAAACTAAATATATTCCAATATACAGAATGGAATTAGTCACAGTTGTATCCAAAACAATAAACACAAAGGACTGAAAAAGACAAGCTGACCAGAAATTGTGTAAGAGTTACCTCAGAAATGTTTTTGTCAGTTTCTTTTCTTTTTTCTTCTAGTTTCCTTTCAATACCTACAATTCCTACAGCCCTTATTCTTCCTGGCTGAAAAATAAAAGTAGAAAATAAGACATACAAAATAGGAAGGACTCAATCTTTTGTTAACCCACCACATTTTCAATGACAGGAAAGGACCCATAAAACAAACACCAAAGAAAAACAACATACAATTTACATCTAGTTTCCTTTCAAAACATTTGTTATTTTCTTGCCACGTGATGATCTTCAAATCATTATAAAGAAGCATCGAACATACAATAAATGGCATATCTTACTCTTCATTTCAGACATAGATTTCCTATACATTTTTGTTCTTTGGCAACCTACTGTGTATGTATAAGATATATTTAACAGGGTCTCAAATGTGCAAAAATTGTACTTAAAATTTTGGTACTTGATAGTTATTAAACAAACTGCTTTTACATGTTTGAGCATCTGCCCACAGTTGGTGGTTAATGTAGACTGGCCTGGAAAATGTCACCCAGTAGTATTTTATTGTCTCTCTCAGATGCCACACTGATTATGAACAACAGGATGAAGCAAGTGGAATCTAACTTTTATGATCCCAGGAATTACTCTGGTAAGTAGTCATTTATTTTTACTAAGTGTCTACTGGCTACAGAGCACTAAATTAGGTTCTGTAAAAATAAATTTTTAATCAAATATCACTATTTTATCTCTGGAAAGTTCTATAATCACAGAAACATTTTTCTTTAATGAAGATATAAGTACAGAGCTAAAAACACTAGATTAAGAAACAGTTTTAAAAATACCTGGGGTCCTCTATTTGTTTGGAATGACTGGGAAACTGGCATATTCTCCCATCTTCTCTGCGTCATTTCCTCTGATAAACGCCTATAAAACTGTTATACACATAGATACTCTTTAAATGAGTCAGTCAGGTTGTGGCATCCTCAAAGAATTCATTACTTAACATTTCTTTAGTTGAAAGGTCTAGTCAATCATTTGCAACAAGCCTAGACACTCTCAGATACATCAAAGAAAATCAAAGGAAGTTCTTTTCTTGGATCAACTTCAGAAAGAACAAAGAACAAAAAGAAGGAACTGACCTTCTATAGAAAGTGAGCTATTTTCAACAAAGAGATGAGTGACAATGAAATAAATAGACTTACTTTAAACAATCCTGCCTACGTGGATTGTTTTCAACCTATAGTGAAACGCAGTGCCAAGAAAAATATACAACCATTCATTATCCATGAAGAAAGCAAATAATAGTCTCTTAAAATGTATAATCAGAAATTGGGGCCAAAATTGCTTCTGCTCACAAAAAAATCAACTATATTTTTCACCTACATTGGACTGATTTCAGTTAGTGACTTATATTTGCTTAGTGCCTACTGTGTGAAGAGCACTGGGTGCAAAACTACAGAAGAAGAACATGAATAGCTTATGACATTGATGGGAAGATAAACACACACTTATAAATTTCTGAAAATACTTATATAGTAACTTATTAATCAGAACATATAAACTATACTCTAAAATTCACATTTAAGAACAAAGGGCTAACAATACACGGGACACTAATGAAAAATAAAAGCAAGGTGTGGACTTATCCCTATGAGATTTTAAGAGATTATCAATGTGGAATTAAAATTCTCCTAATTCTGAAGCTATAGGGATTATGACAGTGTGGTGTTAATATAGTATGGTATTGGCACAGGAAAAGAATAGCTCAGAAATAGGAAGGGACCAGTGCTTATTTGCAAAAAAGAAGCAATTAAGTGATTAGATTTGTTGGTGTTAATAAAGACAGACTGCCTGATCTAAAGTTGGTGAGTTTTTAGATACTGAGGTAGTTTAACACGTCACTGCATTATGCTCTGTTTCTTAAACCGTACTACATGTACCACTGAAAACTTGAGTAGTAGCCTAATGGCATGACTTAGCCTCACTCTTTCCTTGTGACCATACACTCCTGCTTCCCATTTCCACTGTCACCTAAATTTCATATTCTATACTGATAAGACATAAGATTATCAAAAATGTTATTGTAAACATGTGGTGAAACCTGGTATGTTGCCTTCCCATATTAACAATATGGAAACAATACTGCCTTCAATCATATTAACAAACAACAAAAATATATGCAAGCACACATTTCTGGTCCAATTTTATTCATATAGAGATTTACCTCAATCTGGCCATGTTCTTTGAAGGAGAGTTTGATGTAGGAGTTCTTACTACTCTGGAATGGACCAAGCTCTTTGTTAGGAGGAGCTGGGTGAAGATGAACCACTATTTTAGCACTAAAAAAAAGAAAATGTAATATATTAAATTGGCTTTTAAAAATCACTAATTCTATTTTTATATCTTTTAATATATTTCAGGTCACTTTTAAAATTCATGTAGAGACAAAAAATATCCTTAAAGAAATCCTTTTAAAGTTTGTATTAATTCAGTATTAATAAACCTTTCAAAAATACCTCTACTTAGGCCGGTGTGGCTCAGTGGTTGAGCGTTGACCCATGCACCAAAAATCTCTACATAAAACTTGCAAGCCATGTACAAAAAAGGTCAAGTTACTAGGTTTATAGATTAAATAAAATGTGGTTTCAGGAAATAAGTTCGAAATAAATTTACAAAATTTGGGGTGCTTTATGATTTGATTTATGATTGGTGTTTTCTTTCCATTTACAGAGTCATCCCCAGGAGTTACCACGGGGCCTAAAATTTCTGCCAAAGCATACTACCTTACTCATTTGAAAACAAAATGTTAAAATTTATCTATGTAATCCTTCCCAGTGGTCATGGTCAGAGCCAGTCCTTGCAGCAAACTGGCCTGGGGGTATATCCCTTCCATTGAGGTGCCAACAGCAATCAAGACTCAACTACAACAGGAGGGTGTACACAGCCTACTGGGGGCGGGGGAGGAGGGCTGAGAATGCAACTGGAGTGCCCAGCTCTGGTGAACAGGGAGGCTGTGCCACTGGACCCTACAGAACATTCTACCAAGCCCAGGAGACATAGCAATTCTAGCTAATATATAGAAACAAACAGAGAAGCTGCCAAAATGAGGAGACAAAGAAAATAAGCCCCAAATGAAAGAACAGAACAAAACTCCAGAAAAAGAACTAAACAAAATGGAAACAAGCAATCTGCTAGATGCAGCATTCAAAACACTGGTTATAAGGATGCTCAATAAACTTAGGGAAGAGTAGTTGAACTTAGAGAGAACTTGAACAACATAAAAAAGGACATGGAACCCTGGCCGGTTTTGCTCAGTGGTTAGAGCATCAGCCCACAATTCAAAGAGTCACGGGTTCAATTCTAGTCAAGGGCACGTACCTTGGTTGCGGTTAGGTCCCTAGCCCTGGTTGGGGTCATGCAGGAGGCAACCAATCAATGTGTCTCTCTCACATCAATATTTCTCTCTCTCTCTCTCACCTCCCACTCTGTCTGAAGATAAATGGAAAAATATCCTCAGATGAGGATTAAGAAAAAAAAAAAAAGGACATGGAAACTATAAAAAGAACCAGTCAGAAGTGAAGGATACACTAACAGACTTTTTATTAAAACACCATCCAAAACTAAGATTCTACACGGTCATTTTTAGAGAATGCCACTTGATCAACAGCAAGTGCTGCTCTAGGAACATAAATTGTCATAATCTTTTTGACTACCATTAATTATCTTCTATGCTATTAAAAATACCACTATATTAGTTCAGTTTTATGTCCTTTTTCCTCTTTTTTTCCCCCAACTTATTCAATAAACAATATTCTATAAAGATTAGCAAAACCAAAAGACTTAGCCAAAATATCTTGGATATCTAGCTTAAAGCTTTTTCTTTATGGCCACACTACAAATTCACCTACTACTCAATTTTACATGTGGTTACCTAAATATCACTGTAAAATTGAAAAACCGTGTATGGGGATTCCTCAGTGTAACAAATGTTTTGTTTAGTGAACTGGGATCAATTTGTAAGGACTCTTCATCTATTCCTTTGTGGTGAACATCTTGAAGCTCAGTGAGCAAATACACTCTGCAAGCAGAATCACAGGACTGTTTGAAATGAACTGCCAACTAGAGAAACTAAACTACGACAATTAAGATAGGGTGACTAAGCAAAAGCATTATATAATCTTTAAAACTAAAAAAAAAACCTTAGCCCTGTTATCACATTTTGTCAAGAAAATCTAAAGAAAAGCTAAAATATTATGATACAACATGAAGTTTAAAAATCCCAAAGTCAGCAAAGAAGATCCATGTGAATTTTTTCACATATTCATTTCTTGGGTCATTCAGTATCATACTTCATCAAGTTTAAAATCCACCAAATCAAAGAATTATCTTGGGTTGGTGGATGTTAAAAGGTGATGCCTTGGCAGGTTTGGCTCAGCAGTTAGAGCATCAGCCCGAAGACCAAGGGGTAATGGGTTCCATTCCCAGTCAGGGGCATGTACCTGGATTGCAGGTTTGATTCCCTGCACAAGTCAGGGTCATGTGGAAGGCAACGAATCAATGTGTCTCTCTCACATTGATCTTTCTTTCTCTCTCTCTCTCTCTCTCTCTCTCTCTCTCTCCTCTTCTCTCCCTTCCACTCCATCTAAAAATAAATGGAAAAATATCCTCAGGTAAGGATTATAAAAAAAAAAGTGAAAATATAATACATCTTTGAATCAATGAGACACAGTAAATGGGGGCGGGGTAGCTAGGAACTAAAGAGAATATTTGAGAAAAGTTAACCTGGCAAATTATTAAATTCCTCCCCACTGGAGATGTTTAAAAATAAGACACTAGCCTGGCCAGTGTGGCTCAATGGTTGAGCGTTGACTCATGCACCAAGAGGTCACCAGTTCCATTCCTGGTTGGGGCACATGCCCAGGTTGTGGGCCAAATCCCCAGTGGGGAGCATGAAGGAGGTGGCCAATTGATGTTCTCTCTCATTGATGTTTCTATCTCTCTCTCCTTCTCCCCTTCCTCTCTCTCTAAAATCAATAAAGAAAAAAAATTTTTTAATTAAAATAAAACACTAATATGAAAATAACTATTTTGAACAAATTTGTTATAGTTTAGATTTCTTTGGAAAACAGCAGAGGAAAATGCAAATGATCTAGAACACCCTTCAAGTTTTACATTGTAGTACTTAATAAGACAACCAATATATACGAATAGTGAATTTTGTACACCTGAAACTAATGTAATGCTGTATGTCAATTACACCTTATTAAAAAGTAAAACACAATTTTTAAAAAGAACATATGAGATGAAAAAAAGTCACAAGGGGCAAAATATGAATTAGAGAAATAGCCTACTCTAAAAATATATACTTTATTACTCTTTCCAAGATATTAATTAGTTTCTTTTATATCAAATAAGCAATCTTTTAGGCTAGCTACATTATAATTAAGGCGTGTATTGAATTTCTGGTGAAGTTCAACACTTATTTAATATCTATTAAAGTATCTATGCTAAAGCTACAAATGGATCCACCTGGAAAAAAAACTCATTATCAGCAATATTCTTAAGTTGACCTCAATTACATTCACTTAAAATATAAAACCAGAATTTTTTATATACTTGAATAAACAGAAATATTTTTACCTGTGGTTTTAAACCAGGGCAACCACATCTCATGGTTTGCCTGGTACAGTCCAATTTTATGCTTGCCTTGGTCCAATTATAAACAGCGCTCCCACTACTTATAAATGTCCCAATTTGGACAATAACTATTATGATACTCTAACACTGATTATCTCAAAAAGTCAAAGTGAAAAACTTAATGATAAATTAGAAATAAGAGCAAAGTCAGTTTTTTTCTCATTTCTGATTTTAAGTACTAAATGATAAGATACATAAATATATATAATTTTTTTAATCCTCACCTGAGGACATTTTTCCATTTTTTGTTCAGACAGAGTGGGAGGGAGGGAGGGAGGAAGGGAGAGAGAGAGAGAAACATCGATGTGAAAGGGACACATCGAGTGGCTGCCACCCACATGACCAACCAGGGCCAGGGACAAACTGCAACCGAAGTATGTGCCCTTAGCGGGAACCGAACCCGGGTCTCTCTGGACCGCAGGCCAACGCTCTAACCGCTGAGCCAAACCGGCCAGGGCTAAGATACATAAATATTTAAAAGCAAATGTCTGGCCCAGCCACTGTGGTTCAGTGGATTGTGTGTTATCCCATGGACTGAGAGGTCCCAGTTCGATTCCCAGTCAGGGCACATGCCTGGGCTATGGGCTCCATCCCCAGCAGGGGGCGGGTAGCAGGCAGCTGATTGATGTTTCTCTCTCACAGTTTCTAATTCTCTCTCCCTTCCTCTCTCTAAAAAAAAAAAAATCAACTAAAAACATACTTTAAAAAATAGATTTCTGATCAAGATGGCAGCGTAGGTAAATGAGTATAGCCTCCTCCCACAACCACATCAAAATTACAAGGAAACTACTGAACAACCTCATTCAGAACTGCCTGAAACAGAGCTGAATGGAAGTCCTACAACTAGGAAATTAAAGAAGCAGCCACACCCAGACTGGTATGAGGGGCGGAGGTGCAGACGGGCTGGTCCCCACAACCACGTGTGGTGGATAAAAATCAGGAGGGACACCTGGCTGGAAAAACCAGCAGAACTGAGGCTGAGGGAGGCTGGGGGAGGCTGGGGGAGGCTGGGGGAGGCTGAGACTTCTGGAGCCCCAGGCAGCTCCTCTTAAAGGGCCCAAGCAGGGACTTACTACTAGGACTTACTCCCTCTAAGCTCAGAGGGGAGGCAGCTTGAGAGGCATCTGAGACATACAGGGAAGAACTGGGCTGTTCAGCCTCGGGACAAGGGCTGGAGAGGTAGCTTTCTCACAGATGTGCTGTCAGAGGCCTTTGTTCCTTTGGTGAGCCCTGGCAGACTGCTACCATATCAATATGAGATAGTTCATGTTAAAAATAAATAAATAAATATAAATAAATAAATAAAAGTAAATGTCTGTGGAAATATATACAATGACAACTGGACCACATTTATTTATAATAACCCAAGGATATTATAGTAAACCGTAGTACTTGATTCATGCTTTAAGAATGACTTCCATTTATCAATGAGTTGAAGGTAGGACAATACCTTCTTAGGGGAACTCCTGACCAAGAACTGTAATTCATAAAGTCCCCAAACACTATCATTAGATTTGTGTCCACATATGCAGTCATGGCACAGCAATAAATCAACTAAATTAATGATAACAGCTTGAATGAAAATGTATTTTGTGAATAAAGACTATAATATATAGACCTTACCTTTTCCCAATTCCAGCTGCCTGTTCTTCAATGAACACAATTTGGGAAAGAGGAACAGCCATGCAGCATTCCTAAGAGGCAATCAACACAAAACATGACTCCTAAGACCAGTCAGGAATCCTTAGTTTATAGCAGTTAATAGGATTGTCAAATGCCTTTAAGGTACTCAATAATAAAAATAATAATGTTACTTTATTCCTTAAAAAAACTTGAGGAAAAATTGAATGAAAACAATATTATGGTGGCATTTTACTACATGGAAAGACATATGTTTAAAAACTGCTGTAACTACCTTTGTTTTTACAGTAGGTATATCTTTTTAAAAATATTATTTATAGGCAACTTTTTACATATAATATATTCTTATATGGAAAACAAAAGATAGAACAGGTAAACTGAAGCAACTTTAAAGAATGTATTGATTTTTCTTCTTTATAATCTTCTATACTTCACTCACCCACCCACAATTTTTAACAGAAAATACTAATGTAGCTTCCCTTTATTAGTAAATTTAATTTTTTTTCATTATTATAAATGACTGGCATTCAATGGCTGGTTTAAGGATTTCTAAATTAGCCTCTTTATATGATAATCAAAAATCTATACTAAGATTAACTTATAAACATACCTATCCCTCCAAAAAAATAGATTTCTTTCCTGAATGTATATTTCTTTTAAAATAGAAAATATTAACAGTTTTAAGGTATGCATTATCGACAACAGAATATCACCACTAAGGGGACAAAAATTGGTTGTTGGGAAGCAAAAAGATTCTTGTATCTTGCAATGGCCAGTGATCTTTCAAAGAGCCTTAGTACAGTGTACAGTTTATCTGTGGAATCGAAATTTCACAGCGGGAAGCAGCAATTATAAAAATAATATAGAAGGGAGTGTTTATTTTACTGGCAACACTGAAATTTATTCATAAACACACACATTTTCAAGTTCTTTAGAATAAAGATATCACATAATTTGTCTCTCTTCCTAGAAATGAAAACACAGTGGTTTCTCCTCTGGCTGAGTGTTTGAGAGGCTGTTGTTCTCGATATCTAGGTAGAAGCGTGCACTTCCCAGCAGGCCTACCCTCCTGGTTCTCAGCAGCAACTAGAAGGGTAGGTTGTTCTGAGGATGAATGAGTTTTTTAAGGACCCCAGCAACTGATGGGAGAATTATTCCTGTTACACATGGAACAATCAGGTATGGAGTAGGATCTGACTAGTGTTTGAAAAAAAGGAGTCATCATGACTTTCTACTCAGTTACTACAGACATTTCTGGAGATGAATGAGGGACGACACTCTAACTCCTCCATCTGCCCTCCACGCAGAAAGGTCTTATGGGACACACACATTCTGATGATATTCTGAAAATGAAAATTTGTTGCATCTATTTATAGTTTTGCCAGAAGGAAAAACTTCAGTGATTTAAAACCTAGAACAGATGTAAAAAACTGTATCTTACATGATTTTTCTGATCTCTCCAAATTAGTCGATGTGTACTAAGAAGGAGGGTCCCAGCATCAAATTTTATCTAGAAAGACAAGAAAGATCATCACAAAATATTAATGACATATCACTCAATGTGGTCCAGTTTTTCTTCCTCACAAATTTCACAATAGTAAGTTAATCTCAAATAAATATTTTAGAATTAGGCTTATCACAATTAAAGAGAAGCAATGCTACACATTTCTTAAGCTATATATATAGTCTTGCTGAAGTAGGAAAAAATTGCAAACAACCTGGATGTATAACAATAGGGGAGTGGTCAAATCAAGTATGATACATTCATACTATGGACTCTATACAGAAGTTTAAAAGAATAACGAGACAGCCCTGGCCGGTCTGGCTCAGTGGTAGAACTTCAACCCCCAGAACAATGTCCCGCAGGCTCAATTCCAGCCAAGGGCACGAACCTCGGTTATGGTCTGTCCCCGGCCCTGGTTGGGGTCGTGCGGGAGGCAACCAGTCAACGTGTCTCTCTCACGCTGACATTTCTCTCTCTCTCCCCCCCACTCTATCTGAAGATAAATAGAAAAATATCCGCAGGTGAGGATTAAAAAAAAAGGAATAATGAGACAGAGCTCCATGGACTACCATAGAACTCCAAGACATTGAGTTAGTGTCAGGAGGAAGGAAGCAACTTATAGCATATTACACTAGATAGATAGATAGATAGATAGATAGATAGATAGATAGATAGATAGACAGACGGATGATAGATAGATAATTGATAGATAGATGATAGATAGATATAGATTGATATAATGTCCACATACTTCGAACTACAGACATTACATATAAGCAGTAAAAAAAAGGTCTACATGGAATACTCAGTGATCTGTTAACAATGATTATCTCAGAAAAAGTGTAAAGGAGTAGGGAGAAGCAAAGGGCCCTTTTTTAAAAGTTCACTATTGACTAAATTCTTTTCAATGAGACTAAATTCATGTATAACACTCGTATAATTTTTAAATTAATTTTTAAATACTAAGAAAATGCAGAAATAGACACAAACACATTAAAAATAAGTGTGGGCCCCAGCCGGTTTGGTTCACTTCAGTGGTTAGAGCATCAAACTGTGGACCAAAGAGTCTCGAGTTCAGTCCCAGTCAAGGGCATGTACCTTGGTTGCAGGTTTGATCCTCAGCCCTGGTCAGGGTCGTGCAGGAAGCAACCAGTCAATGTGACATCAATGTTTCTCTCTCTCTCCCTCACTCACTCCCTCCCTCCCACTCTATCTGAAAATCAGTAGGAAAATATCCTCAGTTGAGGATTAAAAAATAAGTGTGAATGGAGATTCAACCAATGGCACTGGGACAACTGGGTTGCCTAGTAAGAAGAAACAACAAACATAAAGTTGAATTTATACCTAACACACTGCACCAAAATAAATTCTAGATGGATCAAATATCTGAGTTTAAAAAAATTATAAAAGCAATACAAAAAAATCATGAGAGAATTTTTAAAATAATTTCAGAGTGGAGAAGGTCTTTCTAAGAAAAACTATAACCAATTAGCATTAGAGAAAAAGACTGATAAATTCAACTAAACAAACATGTATGCACACAAATTCTTTGTGGCAAAAACCACCAAGAGCAAAGATAACAGACTGGGAAAAACTGTAACTCATATCAGAGACAAAGGGCTAACTTCCTTAAAATATAAAGAACTCTTACGAATTAATAATAATATAGCCTGTAATCCACTTGAGAAACACGCAAAGGCTGTTAACAGAAAGTTTACAGGAAAAGAACAAATGACACATTAATAGAACTTACCATATCTAATCAATTTTAAATGCACACACCCCACACACACATTTTAACAACTCTAGAATAAACATGCATCTTACAGTCAATGGTATCTTAAATTCTGTCAAATACAATAAGTACATAAAGATGCCCAAACTCACTGAAGAAAAAGGCAAATTAAGGGAACATCAAGATACCCATTTCATCCATGACACTGGCAGAGGTCCAAAAGTTTGATAATATTGTGTTGGTGAATTGTTAGAAAAATATGCATTTGCACACATTGCTGGATGCTAACTTTCAAGGAGGGCAGTGTATTAATATCTGTCAAAAATACAAATACACGTATCCTTTAAAAATTGCCCTTCTTAGAATTTATCCCACAAATGAATTCAAATGTGTGTACAATGATATACTACCATGTTACACAGTACTCTTCGTTAAAAGCAATAGGAAACAATTTAAATGTCCATCAACAGGGAAATATACATTCACACAATGAACAACTACTCAGTCATTAAAAAGAATGAGGAGACTCTTTGTGTACTTACTGTATTTGAAAAAAATCTAAGATGCCATTGATTGTAAGATGCATACTTATTCTAGAGTTATTAAATTGTGGGGGGGATCTGCATTTAAAATTGATGAAATATTGTAAATTCTCCACATTAAGTGAAAAAAACAAGATTCAGAACTTTGTATGCATAGTATATTACATATTTATATTTTAAAAATGAAAAACAATATATTTTACACAAATACTTATGTATTTCACATACAAATACCTATGTGTGCACAGCTCTCTAGAATGATGCACTGGTGGCCTCTAATGGGGAACTGAATGTCAAAGAGACAGTGTAGGAGGGAGACTTTTAACTTTATACTTTTTCTGGGTTTTAAATTTTTATCATGGAATTATATCATCTACTCAAAAATATAAATGTAAAAATGTGTTTTAAAACTATAATACAGAGCTTCTGGTCAAGATGGCAGAGCATGTAACCACCTCACTCATATCCTTTCAAGGCCACATCAAAATTACAAATAAACTAACTACAGAACAACCATCACTGAGAACTGCCTCAAGTCTAGCTGAACAGAAATCCTATAACTAAGGATATACAGAAGAAGCCACATCCAGACTGGTAGGAGGGGCAGAGAGGTGGACGATGCTGGTCTCACACCCACGAGTGGTGGTTAAAAATCAAGAGGGATATCTCAGCTGGGGAGGTCTCCCTGAGGAGCAACGGGTCCCCCACCAGACCCCCAGCCCAGGTTTCCAGTGCTGGCAAGAGAAGTCCCCATAACTTCTGGTTGTGGCAAAGACTGGCTGAGTGGGGCTCAGGGCTGTTGAGAGTCCTAGGAGTTCCTCTGAAAGGGCCCACGCAGACTTACTCGCTGACAGACCTGCTCACTCTGAGCTCCAGCACTGGGGCAGCAGCTTTAAAGGGGCCAGGACAGCCCTGGCCAGTTTGGCTCAGCGGTTAGAGCGTTGGCCTGCGGTCCGGAGAGACCCGGGTTTGGTTCCCACTAAGGGCATGTACCTCGGTTGCAGTTTGTCCCCGGCCCTGGTTGGTCGTGCGGGTGGCAGCCACTCGATGTGTCCCTTTCACATCGATGTTTCTCTCTCTCTCTCTCTTCCTCTCTCTCCTTCCCACTCTATCTGTACAAAAAATGGAAAAATGTCCTCGGGTGAGGATATAAATAAATAAATAAATAAATAAATAAATAAATAAATGGGCCAGGACATATGGGGAGGAGCAGCTTTCTCCCAGACAAAAGTGCTGGCAGAAGCCATTGTTCCTTTGCTGAACCCTCCCCCTGTAGGTGCAGGCAGGCGCCATATCTGCCTCTCCATCAACCAGGCTAACACTGTTTCCCAGCCTTGATGATTCCCTGAGAGCCCGTCCCACCCAACTTGCAGGCGCACCCAGGCCACTGCCAGTGGCTTTTCTACACAATCAGTCTGTCTGGGTTCACACTACAGACTTTCCTAAAATCTCTCAAAGGTTCAAAAACACTCAACAAGCAACATCTGACTTCAGCGTGCCATAGACCTCTTGCTAAGCAGCCCAAGCGCATTACTAGTAGCAATAAGCCTAGGCTTGCAGCTTACCCTCTCCCAGGTACCTACAAACTCAGCACAAGTAGCAACCATCTGCAAATCACTTTGTAGTCCATACCAGGTGGTCCCCTGCAGGGCATAGGCAGCAGCTGACCTTAGCTTGTACCTCTTGAAAGGTCCCAGAGCCAGCAAACCCAGTGGACAGCTTCAGACCAACCAGAGTACCACCCAACCACCTCCACAAGCAACACTCAAGGGGCAGACTCTACAGGTATCAGAGCCCCACTGAAGCAAGTTCTGCTCCATGGGGTCAGTTCCTGCACTGTAGTTACTGCCTGTCCTCACAGCTGATCTGCCTGGGGGATCAAGCCCTCCCAGAGATGTGTCAACAGCAATCAAGGCTCACCTACAACAGGGGGGTACACATAGCCCACAGTAGGGGTGGGTAGAGGGGGGCTTGGGTGATTGAGGACACTGCACCACTGGTCTCTGTAGGACACCTAATATATAGGGCAACTGCACCAAGATGGGGAGGTGTAGCAGCTCTACCTGACATAGAAACAAATACAGGGAGGCAGGCAAAATTAGAAAATAAAGAAACATGTCCCAAATGAAAAAGAACAAAACTCCACAAAAAGAACTAAATAAATGAAACTAAACAATCTATCAGATGCAGAGTTCAAAGAACTAGTTATAAGGGTGTTCAATAATCTCAATGAGAACTCCAACAAAAAGTAAGGAAACATAAAAATGGAGATAAAAACATAAAATAAAACCAGTCAGAAATGAAGAATACATTATAGAAGGAATCAACAGTAGATTAGATGAAGTAGAGGATCAAATAGCCAATTTGGAAGATAAGTAGGAGATAACACCCAATCAGAACAGAATAAAAATAGGATAGTTTAAAGGGTCTCTGGGACAACATCAAGCATAGCAACGGTCACATCATGGGGTTGCCAGAAGGAGAAAAGAGAACAGGAACTGAAAAACCTATTTGAAAAAATAATGACGGAAAACTCCCCTAACCTGGTGAAGGAAACAGACATACAAGTCCAGAAGTGCAGAGCCACAGAAAAAAATCAATCTAAATAGACCCACATGAAGACATAATTAAAATGCCAAAAGTTAAAGACAAAGAGAGAATCTTAAAAGCAGCAAGAGAAAAGCAGTTAGTTACCTACAATGGAGCGCCCATAAGACTGTCAGCTGATTTTTCAAACG